CAAACAAATTCTAGTCTTTGACGTGTCCAAACGAAACAGCTCAGTGGTGCAGTGGAGATGGAGCCTCTTAAACAATTGTGTCACTGTGATAAAACCTTTATACGATATAAGTCCACAACATCGAAAAATTGATTGATGAATCTATGGAAGTCCAAGAGGTCTACAATAGTGATAATGAGAATAACGTCTCGACTGTGAAAAAGGAAAAATTGATTCTGTAGACAAAACTAAGTGCAAACCTTATAGACCCTTCTCAAACTATTCAATTGAAAGGAAATGATCCACCACCTATCTGAACTTTAGTAGGCTAACAACAATTCCACTACTTAGACAGAATTTCAAGGAAGATATCATTCTTATTAAACCGCTAAATAATCCACAAACTTGCAAGTCCTCAACACCTAGAATCTGAGGATGCGCATAACTTTCAATGCTATTGAAAGAAGAATATACACTTGAAGTAAAGAAATGTAATAAGCAGCTACATTAAGTACCAAGTAACTAAATGTAAAACCGCTAAATAGTCCACTAATTTGCAAGTTATCAACATCTAGAATCTGAGGATACGCATAACTATTAATGCTATTAAAAGAAGAATATACACTTGAAGAAACAAATGTAATAAGCAGCTACATTAAGTAACAAGTAACTAAATGTAATACCTTAACAAAGAGGACAGAAATGTATGCAGGTTTGTCTCCAGCAATAGGAGAATATATTTAGCTGCAATTGGAAAATATAAACATTAGGTGAATAACATGATATATTTAGCTACAATTGGAAATTCATAAAGAACCAAGGAAGACACTTTCTTAAGAAGCAATAACATGATATATATAAATCGAACTAGTTTCACTTTTCTTCAAATCTTTTAACTTTTGGTTGACCCAAAAAACCACTGATTTTTTCAGTTTCGACGAAAATCCAATTCAATTGAATGTGAAGAAGAAGAAGAGACTTTCCAAGTAAAACTTAAGAAACTTTGTAAATCTACGCACATCAAAAACACTGATATAATGATGTAAAGGTTCAATTTTTAGAATCCTAATCCTAATTCTGAACACTAACGATCGAGCAAGTAAATTTATCAGAGCATAATCACCGGAGAGAGTTAACCCTTACCTTGTTCTGTGTAGAGAGAGCCGATTGATTCGATCGGAAGAGAAGTGAAGTTAAACCAAGTCAAAAGTCGTCTTTATGTCGACCCACCAAGTGAAGAAGAAGATTTGAGCCAATTCAATCGAGCAATCATCAATTGCAGCAATAAGAAGTTGTAGCAAAGAGATTTCGAAATAACGAAGAGGTTGTTGAATTGGTTTCTAAATAAAGAAGAAGAAGAAGACACAAATGACTTAGAGAGAAATCTCCATTACCAACAACAACAAAGGGCTCGTGGAGAAGACAACAAATCTGGAGCGTTGGATTAGTTTTTTGGGTTTTTTTTTTTTCTAATGAAACACAAAGAAACTGCTGACGTCAGCCTGACCTAAAACCCAGTTTGCTGTATTTATTTATTTATTATGGATGAGGGAATAATGTAAAGTTTACTCAAAGTGTGACATTTATTAGAGTATAATATATTAATTAAAAAGTACGCAAAAGGTCATCTCTGTTTCGACCTCACCTTAGGTTTGCTTCTAGATTTATATACGTCTAAATTAGTATTTTGATTTCGACAATAATAATTATTATTTAAGCTTTGATTTTGAGAATGATGAAGTGGTTTGGTTTCTAGGCTTCTGAGAGAGGAACCCACGATGACTCTTACCAACACATCAGCTGCTAGGTCATACTCTCCACCTATCTCATCTTTATATTATTAAATTAACACATCCCTTAAAAATTTCAAACTTACATGTCATATTTCGACCTTTTTTTTTTAAAAATCATATTTCGACATGTCATATTAAGGTCATGTTTCGACCTAAATTAGTTATATACTTTCTATTGCATAGACCAGTCTCGGTGATGGACACAGTGGTTCACGGCTTCACAACGCTCTCTACAACGTATGCATGTTCTTTCCGCTGTTGGTCTCCGATTTCCCACCCATGAAACATTGGTTTATTAAGACTTTGGAGTCCGATTATGTATGTAGACGCAAGACCAACTCTTTACTTTTGTTGGTTCAATTTAGTGGTTTTTGCAGCTCAAAAATGTAGCCCAAATAATCAGGATAATGGACGGACCGGAAGATTGGTTCGATGGGCCGTTTTGAAGCAAAATCATCCACCTTCTTGGAAAATATCACTTAGCATATATACTTGAAAAGTTGAAAGTTTGTTGCAAATGAAAAATAGTTGGAAAAGATTTTGGACCGTTACAAGTCTTATCTTATTGGTAAAGTCTTTAACTCAGTTCATGGGTTGATCAGTTTCATTGAAACTAGGCATAGATTGGTCCTTTCTCTTTATTAAATACTCGATTCTACATGTCAATCTCAATTTCTGTACATACCATTCATTGTAGCAATCACTATACGTAAATGTTAATGTCTATGAACAATAATATAACTATTAAATTTAGAGAGAAAGAGAGTTTGTATAGCTCCCTTTTGCTATATATGAGTGATGTGAGAACCAATTGGTTGTTTATAGAGAAATATTAAATATCTTTCTGTTTATCGTACAAAGTTACCTACACTATATTGCTAAGACTGGAATGCCTCGTTGATATAAAAACATCTTCGGTTGCAAAATAAATAAAAGAATGATGGGATAAAAGTAATGATAGTTAGGTAATTGGATTAGCATGGTTGGTAGGCTAAACCATATATAGTTAATCTAATCGTTATTACATTCTTACCTACTTTGTATAGTCATTAAATTTGCATCCACGTTTACGTACTAATATAGTTTCGCATAAAATACACGTGCAATCTTAAGAATATTGCTTGATTTATTTGAGAAAAAATCTTGTATGCAATTATTGGTCTATAACTTAGTTATAACCACGCCATTTGTCTATATGAACACTTTGACACATTGGTTAACTCAGAGATTAAAAGTCTAAAATGTAAAAATGCAGGTAAGTAATTCTAGTATTAAAACTTTGACGCAATTATTAAAAACAAAGAAGCCGATCTAGCTATCAATTGTCTCTCGCAAATAGTCTAGTATGTATTTTCTATAGTCTTATACTAGATGAGTAAATCACCTTTTTTATAAATTTATTAGATTTTTTTGTTAAATTTTATGGATTCCAACTCAAAACTAATTAGCAACGAGTGACAAGTCTTATAAATATGTAATTGCATGAAATAAAAGATGATTTCAAATGTTGTTCATATGTACTAGAACTCCCAGCATTAACACATGAACTAACATTTTGTAGTGTACATCGATTCATTTAATTGGATCCAAAAGGTTTCAACTTTTAGTTCTCTTATTAGTTTTTGTTTCCTCTTTTTTGTTTTCTGTTTCTTTTCACATATTCTAGCTTATTCGAAGCCAACTTGAGTAGCCTAATAAACTTGTGTCACATGAGAACATTTCTCAAATGGAACATTCAGACATTTACACTCCCATATGTTGCATCATGTTAGTTTCTATATTAGTCTAATATTTGTTGTCTTTCGGATTTCGCATGTGAAATACTCCTCGTTGTATCTACGAACCATCAGTGTGTATTTTTATAAGCATAAACTAGTAGTTGACAAACTAAAAAGAACTATTATCACACACACTCATTCTTTTTTTTTTTGAATGTCACACACACTCATTCTACATTTGCCAAAGTCTTTTTTCTTATTCACAACCGTCGTTGCGTTTAGTTTGTTACTATTACTTTATGCTAGTGCCGTTGATTTTCCTAAAAGTATAATTAAAGGGACCCCTTACTAATTGCAAATGCTGCATAGAATTAGTTAGATCCCATTCTCGCGAATCCTAAGATGATTATTTGCTAGAATTAAAATATATTAGCAAGAAGATATTTTATTGATAACATAATTGACCAAAGAGAAAAAAACAAAACGGAAAGTCTTCTTATTTCTGTCGGTTTGACACAACTGGTCAACTTTTGCTGTCAGTTGAGTAAACTCTTCGAGTTTTACAGAGTCGTATTTTGGATCCGAATGGTAACAGCGTATTTAGTTGTGCGGGAAAAGCGGTTTTATAGTGCGGTACGGTTCAACAGCGGTACGTGCGGGAGAAACATATTTGCGGGACAAGTGCGGTTTGTACAAAATAAGCGGTATGCAATAAAGTTTGATTGGTAAAAAAACTATTTGCGGTTCACAGTAAATGTTTTAATAGTAAAAAAGTAACAAGCGGTACGCATTACCGATTATAGATAAATATGTTAGAATAAATATAATGATAAATTAGTGATTGTTTTGTGGTAGTAAAGAAACATTTTCATATATTTATGAATCTTAAATATGCAAACCGATTTAAATTAAAATATTAATTTTTTTTGACATAATTACTACTAAATTATTTAAAAATCCAATCATATACTATTACTTGAAATTTCATGAGTGAAAAGATGTTGACCAGAGAAAATGTATATGTGTTTAAGGTAAAAATATTACACATATATAAATGTTTTTAATAATTAAAAAATAGAAAAATAATAATGTGTATAACCAATAGCGTATTTCGTTGAACCACATGGTAAAGAAATGTTCTAACTTTAAAAAGCGGCCCAACAGGTTTTACCCTGTTTCGAAAAACGCAAACACTCTCTTTTAAAAATAAAATAAAAACGCAAATTTGTAGAAGACATGTTGATTGGTGTATTACGTGTGGTTTTCATTTTTTTTTTTGAAATCCGCGATTACCTTGTCACCATTCACTGCCTTTAACTTGACCACTCTAAATTTAATTTTTAAGAAGTTATAGTAGTGGCCCAATGTAAATGATGAGTAAATAATATAGTAGGTTACAAATTATTTCGTAATAAATTGTTCTAATTTAAATTGTAAGAATTCATACATTGATCACTTTGAACTGTTTTTGGTTAGTAAGAATTTAATAGTTTTTTTGTTCACTATCACATTCAAACCCTCTCACATGTTGATTTGATGATAAAGAAGTTAGAGAGAATGATTTCGACTTTTAAAAAACCACTTTATGCTTCCCTCCTTTATGCAGACAAGAAAAAAGGAAACAAATTTCATGAAAGAGATATCCATTAGAGAGAGATAAATCTTGGAAGAACAATCTCGCATTCTCACTCTGCTCTTATAAAATCTCTCTCTTTCACCTTTAAAAATCCCAAAGAGTCTGGAGAGTGAATCAAAATCGGAAGTATTGTTAGAGAAATGAGAAAGATTCTTCATCTTCTTCTTATTCTTAAGGTCTCTGTTCTTGAATTCATCATTAGTGTTTCTGCTTTTACCTCACCTGCTTCACAGCCTTCTCTTTCTCCTGTTTACACTTCCATGGCTTCCTTCTCTCCAGGTATCTCTCTCTTTCTCTATCCATTCCATGCTAATGTTTTTTTTTTTTTTTTTTCGTAAACCAATGAAAATCTGATTTTTAATTATAAACGTAAATGCTATTTTTGAGCTTCATAGTGAGTGGATTGCCTATCTTCTACGTATCTTCTTATCAGTTATTCAAATTGATTAGCTTTCTTGATTTCTTGATTTCAGGGATCCAAATGGGTAAAGGCCAAGAACACAAGTTAGATGCACACAAGAAACTTCTAATCGCTCTCATAATCACCTCATCTTCTCTAGGACTAATACTTCTATTTTGTTTATGCTTTTGGGTTTATTGGTCTAAGAAATCTCCCGAGAACAACAAGAACTCAGGTAATAATCATCTTAAAATCAAGAATGAGAAATCTGCAAAACTTTACATTTGTAACACGATTCTGTATTTGGATGCTTTATCAGTTTCATCACTGTTCTCTCTGTTTTGATATCTAAATGGTTTGATGTGGAAGACGGTGAGAGTGGGATATCATTATCCAAGAAGGGTTTTGTGCAGTCCTTCGATTACAAGACACTAGAGAAAGCAACAGGCGGTTTCAAAGACAGTAATCTGGTAGGACGAGGCGGATTCGGAGATGTTTACAAGGCCTGTTTAGGCAACAACAACACTCTAGCAGCAGTCAAAAAGATCGAAAACGTTTGTCAAGAAGCAAAACGAGAATTTCAGGTACCAAAAAATAGCCAAGTCCTAATCAGTTTTATTTTTTCCGGATTCTTTATTCTATTCAAGAATCTGATTCTATCATCTGGATCTCAGAACGAAGTTGATTTGTTGAGCAAGATTCACCACCCGAACATAATCTCATTGTTTGGATATGGAAATGAAATCAGCTCGAGTTTTATCGTCTACGAGCTGATGGAAAATGGATCCTTGGATGCACAGTTACACGGTAAAAAAAGCTCAAAACATCTTCTTCCACCTTCTCATCATCTTGTCATAGATCATAAGTTAAATTACTATAGTATAACGGAGATAAAACAAATCATGTGACCACATGAAATAAATAATTTTTGTTCTATAAAATTTATTGTTTGCATCATTAATGGTTAAGGACCTTCTCGGGGATCGGCTTTAACGTGGCACATGCGGATGAAGATTGCTCTTGATACAGCAAGGTACACTCAAGTGCCCACATTTAACATTCCTCTCTACCGGTTAATTAATTTCGGTTTATGTAAACCGTTTTCTTTTGTTGGTTTGGAAACAGAGCTGTTGAGTATCTCCACGAGCGTTGTCGTCCTCCGGTTATCCACAGAGATATTAAGTCGTCAAATATTCTCCTTGATTCTTCCTTCAACGCCAAGGTAAATAACTTAACTCATTGATGATGATTCCGTTCTGAATTTATTGTATCCTAGACCGAAGCAGGGCTAACCGAACAAGATTTGTGTAGTTAAATCTTGGTTCTTGTTTCGCTGATTCAATTCAAGAATCATTTTATTCATTTGTCTTTTGTTCCATCTCTTACGATACAACATTCAGATTTCGGATTTCGGTCTTGCGGTAATGGTGGGGACTCAAGGCAAGAACAACATTAAACTATCAGGGACACTTGGTTATGTTGCTCCAGAATATCTACTAGATGGTAAAATATTCACATGTCCCTCTATTTTGGTCGACTTTGAATCGTTGTCAAGTCTTTAGAGTTATAGCACATAGTTTGATAGTCATAATCATGAGACCCCATAACATTAAGTTTCTTTCATTACGTCTAAAAATTGTTGTTCTAAATCAAATCATTTTGTTTGTTGATGTAAAATTTCAACTAATCACATAAGAATCATTATTTGATTAGAGATGGTAGTTGTTGGGTCGCTAAACTTGTTTATTGAGTTTATTTGTTTCATTGAAACATTTTTATGTCATTTGTATGTTCCACAGGAAAATTGACCGATAAGAGTGATGTTTACGCGTTTGGGGTGGTTCTACTTGAACTTTTGCTAGGAAGACGGCCGGTTGAGAAATTGAGTTCGGTTCAGTGCCAATCTCTTGTCACTTGGGTAAGTCTGGTTTGTGTTGACGTTACTGCCATTAGTACATGATTCATTGGTTAATGAGTGTACCGTTTCGAAAACTTTGCAGGCAATGCCTCAACTTACAGATAGATCAAAGCTTCCGAAAATCGTGGATCCGGTTATCAAAGATACAATGGATCATAAGCACTTATACCAGGTTTGCATCATTTTTTCTTTGGTATATGCTTTAAAATCCCATTGATTGCATTATCGTCAGTTAAATCATAAATCAAACCGGAAATGATTTTTGTTCAGGTAGCAGCGGTGGCAGTGCTTTGCGTACAACCAGAACCGAGTTATCGACCGTTGATAACCGATGTTCTTCACTCACTTGTTCCGTTGGTTCCGGTAGAGCTAGGAGGGACTCTCCGGTTAATACCATCGTCTTCTTAAAGAAAATATTTTTTTTTGCTTCTTTTTTGAATTTTACAGTTTAATCTCTGATTGCTTGAGTAATTTAATTTGGGGGGTAAAATATTGTGAGGACAAAAGTTCCCAAGGGGTATTCACTTCTCATTATTGTACTTGTAAATTGAGTTATCATTTTTTTACACCAAGTAACTATCCAATATTTAACAAACTAGATCATCACCCGTACTAAAGTACGGGTTGAATTTTATTTATTATAAAATTTATATAATATATATATTAGAACTAAGTTTTAATATATTATAATAGTAAGTGAAAAAATATTAATTTTGTTGTCAGTCCCTATATACAATATTAGAATAAATATAGATTTTTTTCTATAATACTCAATTATGGATAATTTTTTTTTAAGATATGAAAACGGAAAATAATTTTATTTTTTAAAAATAATATTTTTTGAACAATGAGTTAATATATGTTAACAACCACAAAATAGGATTGCATATATTTCAGTTAGATCAAAAATTAAAATATCATAAATAAATCGCATATAAAACATAGATTATTTTGAATTAATTAAGAAAATTAGGTATTATTTTGAATTAATTTAGAAAATTCTTTTTCAATTCATAATTCTTTGGTTGTTGAAATAGAGATTTGTTTGAGCTAATCTAATTACAGAATTTGTTTGAGATTTATAATTATGGAATTTACCAATTATTCGCATAATCGAATATGTTATAAACATATATTTAGTATATAATCATACCAAAATCAACCCGTGCGTGGAGTCTATATTTTTATTTTAGAATCTCAATATTTCATTTTAAAATATTGCGTGCACAATCTCTTATTCGTTAATTCTAAAATTGATTTCGGAATCAAATTTTCAAATATTTAGAGGTGTCAAACCATATTTAAATGTTCTACACTATTTTTAATATTCCAAATTAAAATCTTTAATTTTTTTTGTAGTTTATAAAATTATGAATTTCAAAAAACAAATTATATGAAATTAAATATAACTATTCAAATAGTTATAAGGATCAAAACTCATTTAATCATATAATATATTATATTTAACCCGCTATCTATTATAAATATTTTACAAAATAATCAAATTAGAGAATTTATAATTTTTAACTTTTTGAACTATTAAGTATTGATGATTTTTTGAAATTTATTATTAACTTTTTGAAATTTATTCTCTAAAAATATCAAGTAAAACTTATTTTAAATGTTGCAAATTAAAATATTTAAATTTTTATTGTAGTATATAAAATTATACATTTCAAAAAAATAAATGTATGAAATCGAATATAAATATTCAAATTCTGACATGTTGCTCAGTCGGAATTTTTGTTGACTTTATTTTTGTGTGAAAAAAATATATTACTCAAGTCTTAATTTTTGACCCGTTTAATTGTTTCCTTTATAGATTGAACAATTTATATGCGTTTTTAAAAATTCAAATCTTGGCATATGCAGAAAAAAATTTACATTTTTATTTATTATGTAGATAATATGATAATATAATCATATAAAGTTGAGAGGTGAAGTTTAATGATTAATAACAAATTAATATGGTAAGTTAGATATCAAATCTTATATGTTCATTTTGATTGGTCATTTTAAAAAAAAAATAACAGATTTTCGTTTTATAATTTAATTAAATTAATTAAATGATATGAATTAGTATTTTACTTGTTTATCCTTAATAAATTGAATGAAATTTGTTCTAAAAGAAGATTTTTGTAATGGCATTCTTAAGTAAATTCTTACAAAAGGGAAGGTTAGTTAAGGGTATCTTATAAAGTGTACTCCCCAAATAATAGTATAGGATACTATCTCTTTCAATTGTTGCATCAACCACCAATCAGTATCCATAATCCATCCACTCTTAGAACTTTCTTTGTAGGCCTATAGAATTTTAAAACATAAGCCAATGACTAATTTACCCCTATCAAGACAAGCCTAGAACAACATCGTAGACATCGTCGTGTCTCTCTCTCGGTGAATCCTTGATCTTTTCTTCAATCTCTCTCGACCTGATCGTTTTCGAAACCGCACGATTCTAACCAATTCCAGGTGACAAATCAGCTCCGGTAAAATACTCATAAGTCTCGTCGTTTGATCATCTTTTGTGGATCACAGCGTCACATGACTGTCTTAATTTGGAATTTGTTTATCCTCGTACTAGTTCACTGATTTGAGATCTGTGCAGCTTAATAATGGCTTCGTCAATGTTATCTCTCGGTTCAACACCTCTATTACCGCGCGAGATTAACAAGGTACTGTTCCCGCTCTAGAATCGGCTGTGCAATGAATTACGCATCAGTTTATTCATAAATCCTGCTTTTGTTTTCGATTAAACTTGGAACAGGATAAGCTAAAGCTTGGAACTTCCAGTTCGAACCCGTTCCTAAAAGCAAAGGTACTCTCTTTACTTTGTTATTGCTCGAGTCTGAACCTTATCAACTGTTTTGAATTAACATTTTAGAGCTAGATGATCTATCAGATATTGTTATTGTTAGTCTGATAATTGTAGTTTGTATCTGAAAATTTGAGTTTTGGTTTCAGTCTTTTAGCAGAGTGACTATGACGGTTGCAGTCAAGCCTTCTCGTTTCGAGGGTATAACTATGGCTCCACCTGACCCTATTCTTGGAGTCAGTGAAGCATTCAAAGCTGACACTAACGAGATGAAACTCAATCTTGGTGTCGGGGCTTATCGTACTGAGGAACTCCAGCCTTATGTGCTTAATGTTGTTAAAAAGGTTTGAACCTGTCATGTCACTGTGTGTTCTTTCTTGATTTTGTCAGATTACTGATTTTCTTTGACAGATTAAGTGATAGTTAATCTCATTACTTTTCGTTTATAGGCAGAGAATTTGATGTTGGAGAGAGGAGATAACAAAGAGGTAACTTAGTTTATTTGAAATTGTGTGCAAGCGATTACATCATCAGAGTTTCACTAAATTTTACCTCACATGGATGGAAACTGCAGTATCTTCCAATTGAGGGGTTGGCAGCATTCAACAAGGCTACTGCCGAGTTGCTATTTGGAGCTGGTCATCCTGTTATTAAGGAACAAAGAGTATGTCTGGATCTTGTGTTCATCACGTTATTGAAATGTTGTCTCATGATGTTCCTGTTTCTGAGCTAATTCAATTGCATTGGCTCTAAATCATCAGGTGGCAACAATTCAGGGTCTTTCGGGAACAGGGTCGTTGCGATTAGCTGCGGCTCTTATAGAGCGTTATTTTCCTGGAGCAAAAGTTGTGATATCATCACCAACCTGGGGTATTGCTTTGACCACAAACTTTTTTTTGGGTTATTTCGCGTTCATATTGAACCGCCTGTATTTACTGACAAACTACCACTTCAGGTAATCACAAGAATATCTTCAATGATGCCAAAGTTCCATGGTCTGAATACCGCTACTATGATCCCAAGACAATTGGTTTGGATTTTGAGGGAATGATAGCAGATATAAAGGTTTGTTTGTCCCTGAACGACATTGCTTTATCTATGCATCAACAAACTGAATTTCATTTATGTGATGCCAAATTGAGTACTTGTTTGCAATTCTACTGTCCGGATGTAATAATATCAGAGAAACTCTGATGGATCATGATGGTTTTTTCTTGACTTTCTGTTATGTAAATTGTACAGGAAGCTCCAGAAGGATCTTTCATTTTGCTTCATGGATGTGCTCACAACCCAACTGGAATTGACCCAACCCCAGAACAATGGGTAAAAATTGCTGATGTCATTCAGGAAAAGAACCACATCCCATTTTTTGATGTTGCATACCAGGTATCCCATTTCTACATTTCTGAATATCGTGTTTCCGAGAGAAGTAAGCGAAACCATATTATGTAATGCTACATGCACCTATTTTCTAGGGCTTTGCTAGTGGAAGCCTTGATGAAGATGCAGCATCTGTGAGATTGTTTGCTGAGCGGGGAATGGAGTTTTTTGTTGCTCAGTCATATAGTAAAAATTTAGGTCTTTATGCAGAAAGAATTGGGGCAATCAATGTCGTGTGCTCATCAGCTGATGCTGCTACAAGGTAAAAACTTACTCTAAATTTTCTTATCATGAGCCTATTGCAAGTGATCCTGGAGTCTCATATCTAGCTACATGGTTTATGGAACCTTTACCAGTAACACCACTTTCTTTCAGGGTCAAGAGCCAATTGAAAAGGATTGCTCGGCCTATGTACTCGAACCCACCAGTTCATGGGGCGAGAATTGTTGCCAATGTCGTGGGTGATGCAACAATGTTCAGTGAATGGAAAGCAGAGATGGAAATGATGGCAGGAAGAATAAAGACGGTGAGACAAAAGTTGTATGATAGCCTTGTTTCAAAAGACAAGAGCGGGAAGGACTGGTCCTTCATCCTGAAGCAAATTGGCATGTTCTCTTTTACCGGGCTAAACAAAGCTCAGGTATGCCCAAAATGTGATTACTACTCAGATATCTTTGGCTTTGCTTTAGACTTGGGGTTTGAAGTTTGTGTTTGTTTTTCATTTGGTAACGAGCAGAGCGATAACATGACGGACAAATGGCATGTGTACATGACTAAAGACGGGAGGATATCATTGGCCGGATTGTCTCTGGCGAAATGTGAGTACCTTGCTGATGCGATCATCGACTCATACCATAACGTAAGCTGAGCCTCCCATCTCAGTAGATGACAATAAGAAACAAAGTTTTATTTACCCTTTTAGCGTCTTCTTTATCTTGATTGAAACCAGATGGCTAAATTAATAAGCTAGCATCACACTACAATTGCTAGACAATTTTCGAGGAACCTTTTGATTTGATTGTGTTTGACAGGCCCTGTTGTATTGGGAGACCCCCATCGAGTTATAGAAGAATTTTACTTGTTACGGTTGTAATTGTTGTTACATTGTAATTGATATTACGATGAAACTTGCTCGGACGGATCGTGTTTGGTGTAGATATCTTTCTAATATCAATTAAAATTTCACATTGTCTGCTAATATCACTAAAAAATAAGCAGAGCTACTATCACATTATCTGAACCAAACAAGATAAACACTCGTATAACTAAATAACAAGACATTCTACGCAAGTAAGAGGTACCAAGGAACATCAATGAACACACTTATCAGACACAAGCCTATAACTGGGATGATTAAACCCTAACCAGGTTTTTTTTTTTTTTTGAACAACGACCCTAACCAGGTTCTAAGTTGCGAGAATGTGACATGGAAGTCAAATTACACAAATGTTCAGAAAAAACTCTTAATAGGAAGAAAAGTTGGTAACATCAATCATAATAGAGTAAAAGTCTTACAGAAATATGAAAATGTCATAACTTAAAAACTTGAGGAAATGCTAAACCAAACAGATAAAGAAGACTCTTTTAGAAGGCTCAACACTTAGAATCCGAGCTTGGTTCTACGCCAGTGCCTGCGCTTGGCATTGTACCTGAAATAAACAAACAAACAATGAAATCATTTTCAGAATGATAGATCGGGAATAAACAGTAGAAAAGCAAAACCAAATTAGTCGAACCTGATGGTGTTGTCGGTACGAAGACGAATCCAGTGAGGAATAGGCCTGTTCTGTCTCATCTTTTTCGCCAGCTTCTTCTTGATCATAAACGACTTGTGCGACGGCTGTTAAATTTTCATTTTTCCCAACAGAAATCAAAATCACTAACAAACAAACTCTTTAAACAATTCAAACAGGCGAAACGAATGAACGATAGAAACAAAGATGAAAATTTGAGAGAGAGAGAGAGCGAGAGAGACTTACCATTTTGAAGTCGTGAGATTCGCAGCTGCTCAGCGAGGCAAAAAGTACGAAGAAGAGGCGACCAACCTTTTTAAGAAGCTAAACGATGAAACCCTAGTCCAGTCTTCTTCATTGGGCTTTTTATGTGATAACATAATTTTCTAGGCTTCATGTTTCGGCCTAAGGCCCAAATTCAATTTTTATAGGTCACGTTCCCCAAGTTCGACAGTCTTACTCGAAATTTTACTGTTGTAAGATTTTGGTAGAACCAAATGTCGCAGTGGCTCTTAATGATTTACAAGTGTTGGTACTTGCTGCTCGTGGAGACGTGGTTGACCCTAGACCTAGAGCAAGCTTTATTGCTCACATGTCCGTGACGATGACACATATTTTCCATCATGTCCAAGAAACAAATAGATGTTCTTTTCTAATTACTTTGCCAGATTACAAAACATTATTTTGTCATGATCATGTTTGAAATCAATCAATGTGAGTTATTCTCTTCGTTCTTTGAGATAATTGTGATGATATCACTGATTATGATATCTGTAGCCTCTATAAAACACACACTACTACTTGCATTCGTTCAAGCTGACAAGGAATTCGTGTCTTTATAAAAGCATTTGACAGTTTAAGAGAGTAGCAGGCAACATTAACATCTCCTGAGCGTGTCAGCACATATCTCTGGTTTCAGCACTTACATCAGCTGACAAATCCTAGTTTCAAACATCATTTTTTAGTCTCTTAAGATATAGTTTCTATGTAAGTTGTTGTCTGCATATTTTGCCTGCAACTGTTGGTAGTGTCACTTCTTAAGCAGTGCCATGTCATGGAAAATTGTGAAACCAAAGATAATTTTGACACATTAAGATACTACAATTATATATATATATTCAAAAGACAGATGTTTAGTTTTATTGACCAAGTGATGTCCCAATAGACTTACAAAGCCAAGATAGAGCATACAGCCTGAATGAAAGTGAGAAGGAGAAGAAGTAAAGCTGCAAAAACAGAAGCAACTGACCAAGGATTGTGGAAGTAGTCACGTCTCAGAATTGCCTTCCACCTATTCCATGGTGTGTTGCAGTAAGCTTGAAGGTTCTCAGAGAGTGTCGAAAAGTAGAATCTTCTGTCATAGATAACCTCTTTGCTGATGCTATTGAACAACTTCGAAACATCTACTGAGTTCCCCAGATGGTTCACGATGATCCCACTGCGGATGAGCAAGTCAGCATCTGTAGGGGATTTAATGAAGCAACCGAGCAGTGTGGTGTAGTGGAGGAAGTTCTTATTTGAGCAATGACATTGTTCATACACAATGATGTTTCTGTAGAGGGACTCCGTGAGATCATCGACGACAATGGTTGGAATCTTCAGTACTCCATCAGCAAAACTAATGTCAAGTAAACAACTAGTGCTCTCTGCTGGCTTGAACCTAACTCCAGCAGTGTGAAGTTCTGTTGCTTCAGGTGCATTGTCCACTTTCAATGTAGTGTATTCCAATCTAATTGGAAGCTGTGGCAGATAACAAGACCTCAGAAGATCAACAAAATGTTCTGGCTCTGAAATAAACTTCTCATCATCAATGCGGCTCAAGAAATAACTGAAGTGGCGTTGCGCTAGCTGTGTGATTGAAGGTGTTCCTTGTTGGTAGTATATAAACAAGAGAAGAAATATCTCCTTTAGAACGAAAAAGGGTAACTGATTTTCGATCAAAATCATGTCACGGCACACGTCAGTGATAATCATTGAATTCCCAAATATCCGATCATTCTCGCCTCTAAGCCGAGGATAATGAGACCTCAAAAGAAGTTCAACCAGGAAGCTACCATCTACAACTAACATCATAACAAACTCATCGCTATTAAGTTTCACATCTTCTGCGTAACAGCTGCGAGCATTTTGTTCCCAAGTCCTAGCAACTCTAACAAGGTCCTCTAGACTAGAGTTTGTTCTAGGGATAAAACTCTGCAAATACCTGTATTTATGATCTTCCATAGCTTGAAGCTCTTCTTTACCACGATGTAGCGGGCCAAAAGACACAAGCCGAGGCGTATATGCATCAGGATTGAGTCTACGGAGCTTATTAGGTACCTTGTATATACAGCATTTGGTTGAAAGAGATGACAAAAAGTCTAACTTTGCTTTGATGGAATCTACAAGGGCGTCACCTTCATTCTGATTCATCCTCTCATATGCAAAGCAAAGCACGTCTAGAGAGAAAGAAGAAAAAGATTCTCCGGAGGTAAACGGGCACACAGAGGTAACCTTTTAGAAAGTCTACGTTTCACACACATTCTTTTGGACTTTGGAAGGAAGAAACACGCTTGAAGAGATCTCATTATCTCAACCCCAAAAAATATCAAACACATGGGTCCAAGAAGTACTGCTAATAAGCTTTGTATATTTCAATCCTGAAATAGGAGTTTTAAAAAAGGCAAAGGAAATCTTTCAATAGATGATTTGGTGAGGTTTGACAAACTAACATTTTTGGTTTTTTTTTTTCATTAGGTTGGTTATGTAAATAAGCTGATGTCGCTGTGTTTTCCATTTAATCCAACCGTTCTATCAAAATTGTGAACCAGTAGAGTCAAAAATTCATCTTGGTCAAGCACACCAGGGAAAAACAAAAGAGCATAATACATTGAAGACACAGGCCCAAAATTCACTCCAATTGACTAAAATCGCCAGCTTCTGCAGATGAAGTGCAATGCAGAGAGATTTCTTCCGCCGGTGGGATTTTACTTGCTCACGAAAGAGACCTTTACGACATTGCACTTCACTGCAGAAGCTGGCATTTAGGATGATCAAGAATGAAAACAAGATTTTGCATAAGCTATCAGTCACTACTTTTATTAAAAAAAAATTAAGCCCTCAGATTTGAAATATTCATCAATAAGATATCAGACACTACTTTTAACCATAAATATTTTATCAGTCATCACAGGGCACATAGAGTGTTAAGTAAAACAAAGATAACATATAAGAGAATTGAAGTTATAAAAGCCTTAGCTGAATGAATCCCTCAGAATTGATTAGTAATCAAGGTATAATCAGTCACTACTTTTAACATTTTTTTTCTTCATATCATTCATCATTGGGATGTGGCTAAGGCCGTGTGCATTAATATGCTTCAAATCAAGCAAAAACAAAAACTCACCAAACTAACCAATGTCAAACAACGGATCGTTAAAAGAAAACAAAGAGCAAATTAAATCCCTCAGAGCTAAAAACTTCATCAAAAGATATCAGTCACTACTTTTAACATTTTTTTCATAATCAGTCATCATTGGGATTTCCATAACGCTTCAAATCGAAAACAAGAACTTTTAAACCTGATTCTAAGAAATAACCAAAATCTGAGCCTAAGGACTAACAAAAGCATCCACTTAAGTCGTATCGAATCAAAACGGCAGAGACAATAGTTTCAGAACGATAATGAAATAAAAATCAACACTTTCGAGTTTTTGAAGGCAAAAGAGATTGGAATCTTAAAACGAAAAGGGAGAAATAGAAGCGATCTTATGTATGTGAGCTTAATCACATAGAAACGGTGAATTAGGGTTCTAGGAGGAATTAGTTGTAGCTGCGGCAGAGTATACTTTGACAGGTATTTATAGTGAGTGGTTTTGAATAGGTCAAAACTCAAAACTAGGAATAATGCCATTTCCAGGTTCTGTAATAAAAATAAAATAAATATCATTAATTTTTATTTTTTTTAACAAAAACTTTCTTGTGGAAATTTGGGACTAGATCTAGATCGACGAAACTGGCTTACGAATCAATTAGAAGTTTAGAGCATGTGTACTGGTAGGGGTGTCGGGTAACCCGACCCGACCTGACCCAAACCCATATGGGTTCCAGTGTTTAATGGACGGATTTGACCTGATCCATATATTTATATGAGTTAAATTTACATACCCAAACCCATTATTTTAGAAATCTATTGGATTAATGGGTTATATGAGTACCCATATATATGTATAATAAAATATATAAATAATAAAAATCCAAAAAAAATAACATAAAATTGTAAACCAACAAAAGTTTTTAAATAATAAATTAAAAAAATCTAGTACATATATTTTACTTTTTACTTTTATTTTTAGGTAAAATGTAAACTTTAATAGTTATTTTAGATATTTTACATATATAGTTGTAAAGAAAAGAAGATATTTTACATATATTTATATAAATTTTACATAATATATCAATATAGATATATATAAATTTTACTTTTTAGTTTTGGTTATGAAACCCATGGGTAACCCATGACCCTAATGGGTTTTACCCATTAAACCCATAACCCTAATAAGGTAACCCACTAAAATCCATTTATATATATGGGTAAAAAAATTCTACCCAAACCCACTAAAATCATGGGCGGGTTCGGGTAACCCATGGGTATTAACCCATTTTGACACCCCTATGTACTGGGAGGTTCTTACCAGTGTTCTCAATAATATAAAAAATAAAAATAATAAAAAGTAAGAGAGAGATATGAGCATGAATTTTCATATGAGAACTTTTGAAAACCTCTTGAGAGACTTATGTCATGCATGGCAGAATGTAATTGTTTTAAAAAAAAATTATTACTTAAAATTTAATTATATAATTAAACTAATTTATGTATATTATAATAATATATTTCGAGAGACTTTGACAGAACCTTCCCCTGCACATGCTTTTAGACCATCTCCATCGGGAGACAGTATTGTTAGTATCTCAAAAAAAAAAATTATTATTTTAATTATATATTATATTTTGGAAAAAATGTCGAAAAATACGCCACCTTTCAAATTTGGGACGATTAAAGCATGAAATATCAAAATGTCACTTTAATCACAAAGTTTATGTTGACTTTTCCATAAATAGCTAAGTTTTCGTTGACCTGGCCAAATTAAGCATCACGTTAAGTCCCCGTTAGAACAATGTTGACCATGTTAACTTACCGTTTACAGTTTTTGTTTAACCAAAACAACAACGTTTCAGGTTCTCAATCGTTTGTATCCGTCTCTTCTGGGATCTCAATCGTTTCAGGTTCTGGATCGTTTAATCTGCCTTCTTCCTCTACCATAGCCAGCAGCCTCCTCGACCGACGAGGGCACCAATTTTCTCCACGTTTCTGTTTCTGTTGAGGTTGGGGAACTGTCTCATTCTCTGCTTCTATTGTGCTCTTCTCCGAGGGTATCGACACTACCTCACTCTCCGACGGGTTTGGAATTGTCTCTGATTCTTCTGGGATCTCAATCGTCTAAGGTTCTCGATCGTTTGCTCTGCCTTCTTCCTCTACCATAGTTAGCTGCCTCCGCGACCGGCGAGGATTCCAATTTCCTCCACGCGTCTTCGCCATCGGGATCAATAAGCAAGAGATCGAGAGAATTTGATTTTTTTTTTTAGGGTTAGGGATCGAATAAAATCGATTTGGGGATTTTGACATTCATTCTCTGACTAAAACGACGACGTTTTTGTTTTAGGGAAATGATGTCGTTTTGGTTACACGGAGACTGTAAACGGCAAGTTGACAGCGTAAGCGTCGTTCTAACGGAGACTTAACGTGATGCCTAATTTGGCCAGATCAACGAAAACTTAGCTATTTATGGAAAAGTCAACAGAAACTTTGTGATTAAAGTGATATTTTGAGAGTTAATGTTTTAATCGTCCCAAATTTGAAAGTTGGCGCATTTTTTTTTTGACATTTTTCCCATTATATTTTAATTAAATTTTAATAACTAAATTAATAATTGGTTGACAAATGGCAATATTAGTTGAGAAACATTTATCAAGTGAAACTCTTCTTCCCTTCTCTCCTACTTTTTATTTTTTTAAGTATTATTTTAATATTAAGTTTCTCCATGAGAAACACTGGTGGAGATGTTCTTAGAACACTTACTGTGTTTGACCAAAAAAAAAAAAAAAAAAAAAAAAGAACACTTACTGTTTCCAAAATATTGAGCTATTTTACTTCGATTTGCTGATATTCAAACAATTAATTGGTACAATTTTCAAAACTTTACATCAATACATAACAAACAAAATACAAATGTTGAATTCACTCTATTTAGTATTTACAGATATTCATGATTTGTCCTATACGTAAATTAAAACCAAACGGATTAAAAATGGAGGATATTAATATAACTTGAGAACAAAGCACAAGCACCACCCTCGCATTCATAAACATGTATAATTAGCAGCTTTTAAACAATGAAAATTAATCACGTCTTGACGCTTACGCTTGGAGGCTTCTGATCTTGAGCTCCAGATGCAACACAAAGAACTCGAGGTCTCATTGGACAAGATGGAGAAGAAGAAAGAGGAGGATTACCCGTTGATTTTGATCTGTTATGTGTAGGATTATTATCTAATCTTGAATTTGAAGAAGACGAAGATAAAGGACCTGATCGGCTTCTCGCTTTCTTCTTCTTTCTCTTCTTCTTACTTTCTCCTTCCAAGAGCTTCCCGTCTTTTCCTACCCGCTTCACTTTAGCCTCGTTCAAGCAAGCCGGCAACACACAGTTGCAGAGGAAACCTTAAGGTTCATAAGAAACCAATGTACATTACTAATTTGATCCCCTGAAACATTCTGATTCATTATATTGATGTGGAAGTTTGGAATACCTAAGCGAGCAAGACGGTTGACCCAACTAGGGATTGAGTTTTGAGTTAGTTTCAAACAAACATGGTTGCAGAAATGGTTGCAGTTCCTTGTAATGAGATGGTACTTGTTTCCCTGATACTCTTCTGATAATTTCTCCATAAAGGTTCTAACTTCTTTAGCCCTCATCTCTGTTTCACCCACAAGAATCGATTTCCTGAATGTGAAACCAGGACACTTCTTTGGCTCAACTTCAAAGATTCCCGAGCTCGAATGCTCGTGTGCCCCGTATCCATATTCAACCCCATGAACTACAAACAATGAATAGCCAAAACCAAGAAAGAACATTCAATATCGGATTTTTCGATTAACCACAAGTTATGGCGTGATTGATTCATTGTTAAAACCAAGCAAACAACGCCCACAAAACTGTTCACTTAAGTTCTTATCATCAAAACACATTTAGTCTCTAAGTCGGATTCCAGGAGGACCCAAAGCAAGTCTACTCTTAACAATACATATTTTTCATCCACCAACCAAACTTTGCAATAAAACCAAACCAAGCAAAACAATACAGAGAAGGGATTAATCATCTTTTCTCAGCTACATTCCCCAAAATTACCAATCAATGTTACAATCCAACAAAATTGACCAAAGCATTGACCTTTATCCCCTAATATTGTCTCATGTTTCTCAGTGTATTAGGGGATAAAGGTGTAACAAACCCAAGAACAATCAAACCCAGAATCGAGAAAAAACAAAGAAGATATAAAACAATTTACCTTCAAGACCAGAGTGATAGATCCCAATTCCGAGCCAGTAACCATAAACATTCATTGGGGTAAGATCGTAAACATTCAGATAAACCGGAACCGAACCAGATTTCTTCTTCCGCCTCACCGAGACGTTTCGACAAAACATCTCTCTTTTCACGGCTCAATGCATCGCACAAAAAAAATAGATAGATCAAGAGGTTTCGAGCAACGGAGAATCGGATGCTCGACGCGAAATTAGATTGGTTTGATTCGGAAATTGTGAAGAGCGAATTTTCAAGGGTTCGTCTTCGTCTTCGTCAGTTTCTTCTTCCCCTCTCTCGGGGTTTCCTGGAAAATTGGATGCCTAGAATGATTATTTTCTTCCGTTTCTGTTTTTTTTTTCTTTTTTTCTCTTTTTCCCAAAATATTCCCTTCTGTTAATTTACATTTTTATTTGTTTATAATTAAATATGCAGTAAGATTAAGAAACAATCTGATTAATGAAATAAAGACAAGATGACTCTTTATAACTGCATACATTTATTTTAAAGAGGGAAACAACAAACATAGGTTTTATTTATACATAAAAAAAAAAAACATAGGTTTTATTAAATAAAATAATAAAAAAACAAATCAAAGTGCACCTGGATAATCATATTGAAGTATTATGTTTCTGGAACAGTGATCACACAAAAAGTTCTTCCTTAAGACGTGGACTGATCAGAACCTCAAGAGGCGTGCCTTTAGGAATGGTTAAGCCAGGGCTCTCACTCATATCAACAGGCATATCCATAACAGTTTTCACTTCAAATGAATGAAGGAAACGAGCAAGACCTAAATGAAGCACTTGCATAGCCAATGAAGCGCCTGGGCATGATCTTCTTCCCGAACCAAATGGCATCAGCTCAAAGTTTTGTCCTCTAACATCAAACTCTTTTGCTTCTCCTGTTATAAACCTCTCTGGTCGAAATTCGTCTGGCTCCATATAAACTTTCGGATCTCTTTGGATTTTCCATACATTCACTAACATTCTTGTGCCGCAAGGAACGTTGTAACCAGCGACCGTGCAATCTTCCATCGCCTCTCGATGGCCTAAGAGAGGACCAGCTGGATACAATCTCAATGTTTCTTTGATAATCGCTTGAAGATACACCAAATTCTCTATGTCTGAATCTTCGACGTTCCTGTCTCTGCCGACGTGGATGTCTATCTCTTCTTGTGCTTTCTTTAACATTTCTTTATTGTTTAGAAGAAGAGAAATGGCCCATGTAAGGGTTGCTGGTGAAGTCTCAGTTCCTCCAAGAATCATTGCCTGATTATTCAATTTATTATCATTATATGACAAATATCATCTAATCATGAACATTAATTGGCCACATCACATTTTAGGTTGCAAGTGATTTCTTAAAAATTTAATATGTTCCAATTACGTCTTTCCACCTAACATATCTAGTTAAAACTTGTTTATATAACCAACTTTATATTTTAGAAAACAATAATTTTTGGGTTCAAATCCTAGTTAATTTGGTTAGGAATTATATCTTAGTTCATCTAAAAAACATCAAGACTTGTGTAGATAAATATGTACCAGGCAGGTAGATTTGATGCTAGTATTTGCATCATATTGAAGATGCGAGAGTTTGCCTTGTTCCGCAAGCGACAACATAACGTCGATGAAGTCTGAATCATTATGTTTCGTTCCTGAAACTTTGCGTTGTTGTCGATGGTTTTCAATCCATCTTTCAAGGATCACATCTAATTCTCTTCCTGTTTGCTTCATCTCCTTCTCATGTCCTTGCAAATCAAACCACCCTAGTTTCGGAAAAGCATCGGACACGGTGAATATACCGACGAGGTGAAAGAAATTTGCGACGCCCTTTCTGCATTGCCTTGCCTCTTCGGTATCTTCCGAGGATAAAGAGCCGCCGCCTCCAAAGTATCGCTTTCCGGCCACCATTCTCACCATCATGTTCAGAGAGATGTCCTCTAACCAGCTCTGTAGATCAACCATTACTGGTTCTGCACCACCTTTCTTGACCCACAAGGAATACAAATCTTTCACACCTGCATGAGACAATATCTCATCGTATCACAATTAACAATATCGATAATTATTGTTATATATGCGTTTAGACATGTTTTTTAAAAAATTACCCATTGCGATCTCAGAAACACGAACGTGCTTGAGCATCTGAAGCCGCCGGTTAGAAAGTAGCTCGATGGTTGCGATTTTACGCATCTCGCGCCAGAAAGCGCCATAGGGCGCAAACCCGAAAACAGCAAAATTGTAACCCATGTGCTTTGCGGCTGCAGACATAGGACGTGAAGCCAAGGCTTTGTCGTTCACAGTAAAACATTCTTTAGCCACCTCAAAACTGCTCACAACAAATGTTTCACTGCTCCCGAGTCGTAGCGACATGGCTGGACCGTAGTGGTCAGCCATTTTTCCCAAGGTTCGGTAAAGAAGCTGTTCCTTGCCACTGAGAAGGTGAAGATGACCGATGATGGGCCATGCACCACTTGGGGCAGGAGCTTTCACATGTTTTGGTTTCTTTGATTTCTTAAAAAGAGCGATAAAAACTAAAACAAGGATTGGAACAAATAAAGAAAAGAGGGATGTATCCATAATGTTTTAAAAGTGCAAAAGAGATAATGTGTGTTTGGTGATTTCTTGTTTTGAATGATTCAATAGTATCGTATGTCTCTTTATATATACACATACACATATGATCGGTTCAACACCACGTAAGCAAGTCGTCAAAAGGCGCGGGTCGCAAATTGGATTTGTCAAAAAAAAAATCGAAAATTACTGACGAGTATAAGTGGTCATTTTGAAAAATAAAATGGCCGAACTTTTTTGAACATTTCTGAATGATTTTCGACCATTTATATTGACCAATTCTGGACCAACTTTATCTACTTGGGTTTAGAAATATTATAATATTATATTCAAAAATATTGAAACTTAGATATGATTTTATAATACTGAATTCATAATAATAACTAAAATAAAAGTAAATGTCTTAAAACATAGAAAATCTAAATTAAAACACAAATAACTAAAAATACACTATCATCCGTCACCATAATTAACTCTTGTCAAGCTGCCTCGACAAAACGGGGACGACTGTGACCGTGCAAGCTTGTTTCATACAACGATTACTGTAACTTAAAAAGGCTGATGAGTAGTGAAGAAACTGAGAATTCTTCAAGCCATACCTTGAGAAATTTCATCAATGATTTCTTTTGAGTCATATTTGCCTCTAAAACTGCTTCCGAAGATACTTCCCTCAATAACGAATCGGGTGATCCTTGCACCATTTCATTGTTAATCGACAGGAGACTGTCGTTTGTTTTCAACATCATAAGGATTACACGCGGAAATCTTCTGAGAAGCTCTGAGATTTCGGAGAAATACTGTGATGCATACATATGTAGCTCTGATACATCTTCTTTGTTGCCGCGACTTAATGATCCACATGTGTTCTTTTTACAAGGATCTGGACGAACAATCGAATTGGCGTCGTGTGGGTAACACAATGAACAAACCCATGTTTAAACATCATCTCCGCAAAATCTTGACTCACCTACAAGCCGTGCTAACGTCAATTCTACATATAGAGCTAGCTAGATCAAACGCTAGGTATACAAATGTTACTCTTTTTGTTGTTATAGAGTTAGAGTATATTAGAGAAATTGATGAGTAATAAACTGTGTGTGGACAAGAAGTAGGCCTTATGTTGTAAGTGATAACAGAAACAAGAAACTGTCCAAGTCTCAGGACGACCGGAGTGATGAAGGTAATTTGTCCAGGTCTGTCATGGGTAACTGATGACCAGTGTTTGAGGGATGCTTTAGCTCACTTCGGGGAAGGTGCTGTTCGTTGCGACTGAAAGTTGTTCGTTTGACTGTCGCAGGATCCTGCGATTAGTCGCGCGATCAATCGCCACGACTGAAATTTTTGATCGCATGAAAAATTAGCGATGCGATTTTTTAAATGACGATTAGTCGCGCGATTGCTAAACGAGCAACATCCCGCGATTTTAAAATCGCAGCCGATTATGAAACGAACATGACCGAAGTAGTAGATGGTAAGCCATTGTTCAAGAATCTTCAGCTGTTTTGGTTGATATATTTGGTATAGCTGAGTAAAAGTTTTGTAATATTTTGGGTATCTGGAGATGAAATAAAGTTTCCTATTTTAATTATTGTACAATTTAAGTCATTGAAGATAGAGAAATTGGAAGATCGAGGGATTTTGTATTTGTCAACTTCAACAATGAGAGTGCAGAGTGCTTTAACTGTGTCCGTAACAGAGATGGACATAAAGGTTTGTGTTGATTTTTTCAGTCAATATATCTTTTAATGGTAATTGTTTCTGTTTAATGTTCTGGTTTGATTAATGCTGACAATATTTTATTTTTCATTTACATGTGAAAATAAATTTTCTGATTTTGGGGTTCTTTATTTTGTTTCCTGTTCACACAATCCATTTTCTCTACTTCGACATGGATTCTTATTGGTTGTTTTATTCAGTGATTTTATATGTGATATAAAATTTTCTTGGTTTTACCCGGAAAGGATGAAGAGGAAAAAACAAATAACGTACCACAAGCACATACATCTTGAATACCGTACCACATGCACATAAAATAAATTTCGCCTGCTCGAGTTCAGTGAAAGGCAAGCGTTCTCTGCGCAGCCGCCGCCGCCGCCGCCGTATTCGAATGTAGGCAATTCATTTGATTGCTTTTTTTCTTTTTCTTTTTAATACTGACAGTTTTTGGAAATAAAATAACTCTTACTTAAGAATGCTTTATTGGAATGTTTAGTAAGTTTCTCATATGCTTGCAGGTTTGGTTTTTAAGAGATCATATTCGCACTAATCTTTTTTGCTTAAGTTTATTACTTTCGATAGAGTAATTGAATAACCTTTCTTGAAGATGTATTAGACTAAAAAAATTAAGAAGAAGATGTATTAGACTAAAATATACATTCCGAAACGAATAAATTATTTAAACGGGAATGACTATTAGATGGAAAATTCTTGACGAGTATGGGACTTGACGGATTCCCCTGTTTCGAAATAGATATGTCTACTTTCTCTCATTTTTTATGTAGTTGTCTTTACTTCTGATAAATGATAACAAAAACAAATCTGATCATTCGTTTTGTCTAAACCGAATTAAAACCAAACCGAATATGAGACTGGTTTGAGTTCGAAATATGAATATTATACTAAAACGTACCCCACACGAATGTCAGGTCCGAATTTAGTTTATTTTAAATAGGAAAACAACAAACGTAGGTTTTATTCAAAAACACACACACACATCAAAATGTACCTTCAATAACCGTATTGAAGTTGTATGCTCCTGGAATAGTTAATCACACAAAA